GACCCAGGCTGGGGGCGCCCGCACTCAGTACTACGTCAACCAGCACCCCCTCCCCGCCAACACGTGACCGGGCCCCCAACCCAGCTAGAGCCTTGGAGCCTTTCGGGTGGCAGAACCCTTAGGATTCTCTTAGGCTGTACTTCATGCTTTCTGTACGAAGACACTTGTACCCAAGAATGGCAGGAGGTCACACTGCCTTAGCGGGCAAATCAGGGCTTGAACCCAGGCCTTCTGGGTAGGGGTCACCCCCTCCCCGCCAACACGTGACCGGGCCCCCAACCCAGCTAGAGCCTTGGAGCCTTTCGGGTGGCAGAACCCTTAGGATTCTCTTAGGCTGTACTTCATGCTTTCTGTACGAAGACACTTGTACCCAAGAATGGCAGGAGGTCACACTGCCTTAGCGGGCAAATCAGGGCTTGAACCCAGGCCTTCTGGGTAGGGGTCATTTTAAAGGACTCCTAAAGCTTTGTTCAGCCTCTCTGGCGGAGGAGGCCGTACCGTTGGGTCTTCAGAGAATGTTTCAAACACAAACACATAAAGCTGGAGATTTCCCATCTCTTGATCTTGCCAGGTGTTCCCAGTCTGTGAGAGGGGCAGCTGGCGCGCCAAAGGGAATTAGTGTGGTATTTGGAGCTGAGTCTGTACCTGCCTCTGGAGAAGATGATTGACATGATTCTGTCTCTACCTGCATCACCTCCTCGCCTGCGGACCTGGTAGTTTCCCTTTATTACCTAATTTGATCTGCAGGGACTCTCATGTCCATTTACTGATGAGGAAGCCAAAGCTCGGAGGGGATGTGGGGCAGCTAGAAAACTCCAGTCATCCTGAACCCAAACTCAGGTTTGTAGGTTCCAAGTCCACCCCTCACGCTCAGAGAAAGGACTTGTCTTAGAAGCACAAAGATTTTCCAATGCAGCAGCCAGGAGTCCAGAGTGGGAGAAATAAAAGAAGTATGCTACGATGAGGGGAAATTGGAATTCCAGGCATGAGGAGGACTGTCTTAGATCAGATAACAGTGATTTGGGGTGTTTTTCATTATGCGGAGTGTTTAATTCGACAAGCATTGGCTGTGAGTCGGTGGTGCTCTGGGCATGCCAGGCCAGCATGAGAAGGGGTGTAAACGATTCCTTCTACAACAGGGCTTTCGATCTTCCACAAAGCCGATGACTCCCAAGTGTATGATTGTTTTAGCCAGAACCTTTCTGCTGAGCTGCCAGCTGTGGTACCTCCCAGCGTTTCAGTTAATAAACCACAGGCAAGGTTAGGCGTGCCGACCCCCACACCGTTGAAAATCCTCCTATAACTCCCCCAAAACGTAGCTACTAGTAGCCTGCTGTTGACCGGAAGCTTTACCAATAACATAAACAATCAATTAACACATATTTTGTATGTTATATGTATTATATACTGTAGTCTTACAATAAAGTAAGCTAGACAAAAGAAAATGTTAAGAAAATCATATAAGAAAATATGTTTACAGTATTTATTGAAAAAAATCCGCGTATAAGTGGGCCCGCGCAGTTCAAACCTGCGTTGCTCAAGGGTCAGCTGTGTTTTGTTACTTCTCACGATTTTGTGGGTTAGCTGGGTTAAGCTAGGCGGTTTTCCTGCTCAGCGTGATGTCTTCTGAGGCTGCAGTCAGGCTGAAACATCCAAGATGCTGTGCTACATGGCAAGCAGTTGGTGTTGGCTGCCATTGAGAGCACAATCGGGCTGTCAACCGTTGCACCTTGGTTCTCCTCCATGTGACTGGAGCATGGTGGCCAGGTTCCAAGAGGAAGGAAGCAGAAGCTGCCAGTTGTCTCAAGGCCTGGGCTCAGAAGTCCTAGAACTTCTTTAGAGCCACCCATGGGTGCATACAGCAGGCACTTGGTAACTGCTGAAAGAGTGAATGACATATCATTTCGTGCGGGATGACCAGTGATTTGGAAGGAATTCATTTGCTAAGTGAGCCTCACTTGATTAAATTGAGCCTCACTAAATAAATTCCACAGGTATTTATTTAGTGCCTGCTGCATGCCAGGCACATTTTCCTACTGAGCCCCATTTGCTGCCAAGTGTGGAGCCAAAGTCCCTCAGTGCCTGGTGGTAGACATAGCGTTCTCTCTCATTAGAGCTTCCCTGGGAGGTTTTCTTGGCTCCTGGGCCTAGCAATGCAAAACGTTCAGGGGAAATAAGAGGTTTAATTAATGCTGTCAGCCCAGATCTCCCAAGTCTGGGCTCTTCCCCTGGGAAAGCTCAATGCCACATAGCAGGATCTGGGGTAGGGGTGAGGGGAAGGATGAAGAACACTTAATATCAGACATTGTCTGATGGAGATCAGACACCTGTCATGTGGTCCACCGTTACTATGGTTACATGGATGACAGCAGCTGCAGTGTCCTTCATCTTTAACGGGAAGAGGGACCCCAGCCCAAGAAGAATAGCTTGCCTTTCACCCCTTTCACACACAGTGAGCCCATGGCAGGGCTAGAGTAGTCCTCAGGAGATTTGAAACCCAGTTATTAGGACTGTGGGTCAACTCGGCTACGTCTCACCACAGATGCAACTTTTGCTTCTTGGTGACTGATATCCAGGCAGTAGACTTTAATGACAATTCTCTAAGAAAAGGCATTAGTGGGTTCCTTTGAAAAATGAGATCGTCTCTGTTGAGAAAGGCAGTTGACAGAGTCAGCCGCGTGGAACAGTTGAGACAGTCTAAGGCTGAGACCTGCAAATAATTGGAAATGCTGGGGCCACCAGACTGCCGAGGGCAGACAGAGCGGGAAGCTTGGGGGAGCTTCTGCAAGGCTGAAGATCTCCGAAGGTTATCCAGGCCTCTTGACAAAATGTCACCATTGTTATTTTGATTGATATTTTACTTGTTGGATGATTAAATAATCTGAGTAAACACTCTGAATTTCTAAGGTATTAAAATGCTTTTACCTAGAGGAAAGGGTTTCAAATATAAAAGGTTCTCTAATTTAGCAAACATTTATGGTGTCTACATATCATGCTAGGCAGAAGGGAGAAAAATACGCAAGCAGAATAACTGAATTTTAATGTTGGAAGGATTTCAGAGGTCACCTTGTAGAATGTTTTCTATTTGCCAATGGGGAAACTGAGGCCCAGAGAGAGTGTGGTTTGCTGAATGGAAGGAGTGAATGACAGAGCTGGGAAGGTCTTGTGGGTCGAGGTAGATTAGATTCTGCTGCAGTAACAAATAACCACAAAACCTCAGGGATTAACTCAATAAAAGTTTCTCTTGCTTCTATCACAGTTCAAGGAGAATCATGTGACTCATCTGGACCACTCATCTCCATTCGGCGACTCAGGAATCTGGGTGTTTTTTCTTGTCTTGTGACTCCTCTACTTCCAGCCAAGCAGATGGGGAAGAGCAAGCACATTGAAGGCCACTTTTGACATTTCAAAGCCCATGGCTGGAAACATAGTTTCCACCCCATGGCATTGGTTAGAATTCGGTTATATGACAAATCTGACAACAAAAGAGACTGGAAAATATAGAGGAGAAGCATGAGTAAGAGAAGTCTCTGCCAAGGAAGCCAAAGCTTAGGGCTTCTTGTCTAATGCGTATTTCTCTAACTCATTCATTAGTTCGATAATTTTTTTGCGTTTCTACCACGTACCAGGCACTGTTCTGGGTGATGGAGCGAAGAGAGTGAGCAAAACCCGGCAGGATTCCTCCCATCGTGGAGTTTACATTCCCATGGAGAAGATGGACAATAATCATTCATCACACAGATACATGTGAGATTACTGTGATACGAGCCAAGAAGGACAGGTTCGGGGTTGGGATTTGACTTGTTCCAAGACAGCAAGGAAGGCTTCCCAGAGGAAGGAGCAGTTGCACCGAGGTCTAAAAGAGTAAAGGTAACTCGGCAAAGAAGGAAAAAGAATGTTCAAGGCAGAGAAACAGTACGTGCAAGGACCCTGTAATGGAATTACACAGTGGGCACTAGCAGCTGTGTACTGGTCAACCAGCTCTTGGGACAGGGGTAGGGGTGGGGGATTGATTTTTAGCACTTGTCGATTTCTCTGATGTAAGTAAATCAACACCACAGTCAATTTCCGGCTACTAACAAATTCCTGAATATTTACAAATTGGCTCTGCAAGCTGGTAGGAACCAGCTTTGGCACACAACTGGGAGAAACTCTGTGTGAGATGAGCCTAAAGGGAGAAGCAGGGGACAGGCAACGGGGCCTGTAAGCCAAGATGAACGTTTATTGAGTATTTTTAGGCAGGGGAACATGATATGATCAGATTTCTGCTTTAAAAACATCCTCCGGCTGCGGTATTGAATATAGATTGGAGAGGAACAAAGTGGACGCTGGTGGACTAGAGAGGAAGTTGCAGCAAGCATCCAGGAGAAGGATACCAAGCTTCCCTTTAGACATGTGTGGCCGGATGACAGGCTGAAATTGTTGATAGCGTGAGGAGAGGGCAGGTGTAGTGGGCAAGTCACTCTCTCTGTCGGCTCCCACTTTTCAGCTCTGTGTTTTACTCTCTCATTTGATGACTCTGTGGTTCGCCAAGCTAACTGGTTCTCTGCTGCTAACTGCAGATTTGCCAAGCCCTGGACCCTGCCAAAGGTGGGATGTACAGGAAGAAGCTGCCTGGGATAAGGGGGTGGAGATCCTGGAGCGCCAGCAAGGTGATGCAGACTCCAGAGAGCTGAGACACTCACTGGCAGCAGGGCGAGTAGGTAAGGAGCTCAGTAGAGGCCCAGGAGTGAGGCACACTCTCGGGATTCAGCCGCTGGCTCT